TGCTGAGTTCTCGGGGTTTGGCTCTCCTGGCGGTTCACGTACGGGGCGTGTCCAACGTCTTGGCTGACGCCCTGTCTCGCTTCGTTCCCCTCTCCACGGAGTGGACGGTCGACGACGAGTCCTTCCGTTGGCTTTGCCAGACGTTCGGGCGCCCCGAAGTGGACCTCTTCACGTCGGCGTGGTCGCGGCGTCTTCCCGTTTATGCGGCGCCCTTCCCCGATTGCGAGGCCGTCGGGGTCGATGCCTTTCGGCTAGACTGGTCGAGGTGGGGGTTCCTGTACCTCTTTTCCCCGGTTCGGCTGTTGCTCCAGGTCCTGACTCGCTTAGAGACTTACCGGGGGAGAGTTGTCCTTCTGGCCCCTTGGTGGCCGGCCCAGCCTTGGTTTCAGGCGCTGGTTGCTCGGTGTCCGAACCCGAGGGTTTTCCCGCGGCTCCGCCTCTTTCAGCAGATCGGACCGGTACGTCACGTAGCTGGTTCGATCTTCTCCTCAAGTCTTCGCGTATGGTTTTTTTTGACTCGAGTCTATCATCATCTCTATGGTGATCAGGTGGCCTCCTTGTTGGTGTCCCACCTGAGGGCTTCTTCTCGGCGGCAGTATGAAGTTTCCTGGCGGTCCTTCCGTTTCTTTTTGCGTCTTCGTCGTGTTAGCTCCTTGTCTGTTCGGGTGGTCTTGTCCTTCCTCTCGTGGTTGTTTCAGGACCGTCATCTTATGCCTAACACTGTCGCTTCGTATCGTGCGGCGCTGGCGGAGCCGCTTCAGCTTGCTTTCGGTATCGATGTTACATCTGCGCCGTTTCGCAAGCTGTCTCGTGCATTGTTTCACCTCCGGCCTGCTCATGCGTCGCCTGAGCCGTCCTGGTCTCAGAGTTTGGACAGAGTGCGCGCTTTCCTTTCATCTCCTCGTTTCGTTGTGGCCCCTTCGGTCCAGGATTGTTTTTCCACGGCACTTTTCTTGTTGGCTTTGGCCTCTGGGGGTCGGGTAGGGGAGTTTCATGCTCTCCTCCGGCGCAGGGGTTTCTGCTCTTTTGGTCGTGGTGATAGTTTTGTTCGTTTGCAGCCGTCTCCTTCTTTTCTGGCGAAGAATGAGACTGCTGCGTTCCGGAGGGGTCCATGGGCGGTTGATGCTTGGTTGGTCAGGCCGGGGGTGCATCATGTTTTGTGTCCGGTTGCGGCGCTTCGCCGTTATTTGCGCGCCACAGCTTCTGTGTCCGGGCACGCGCTTTGGGTTGATCCGGTTTCCCTTCTTCCCTGTTCGCGGGTTCGGGTCTCTCAGGTCATCCGCAGGGTTATTAGGTCCAGCCAGCCTGCGGTCTATCCCTGTGCCCATGACGTTCGTAAGTTCGCGGCTCTTGCTGCCGTCTTTGGGAATATGTCTTGGTCTGATATTCGGGCGCGGGGATTTTGGCGGTCGAACAGGGTCCTGGCTGCTCGTTACCTTGTGAATGTCCCTGGGCCTCGTCGGGCCTGTGTTGCTTTGGGTCGGCGGTTGCAGCCAGTTGTCTCGGCTTCAAGTTGAGGGGTGAGCGACGACCGCCTCCCGGGTAAGTCCCTCTTTTTCTGTCTGTGGGTAGTTAGCTCCGGGGAGCCGACGGGGCTCCCCCCAGAAAACCAGCGTTGAATGTAATGAAACGCCATTTTCTGGGTGAGTCCCGGAGGCTCCCCGGCATCCCTCCCTCCCTCCGGTCGGCGGTTTTTCGCGTTTTTGACATCCAGCCTCAAGAACTGAGGTGTGGGTAGCCGGCGCAGGGGGTCTGGGGCTCCCCCTTCCCCCTCCCGGGGAGGGGGGAGCTGCGCAGACAGCGGCGCGGCAGTGTGTGACGTCACACTAGTTTGCTTGTTTTCGGTTGGGGAGTTCTATCCACTAGTTCGGTTTTTGGTAGCAATTTTAACCAGAATAGGGGTTTGTTTTGGGGCGCTTACCTTTCTGGGTGCCTGTTCCGGTCGATGGCAGACATAGAATGCTTCCAACTACACGGGGGCTTCTATAGGCCATTGCTCCCCTTGCCTCTCTGAGGGGGCCCGGTTCTGGCCGTGGTCCCCGGTAGGCCTAAGAACTCCATACACATGACTGATGCCAAAGTCTGACATTAGCATATCAGCCTGGGATAGCTCCGGGGAGCCTCCGGGACTCACCCAGAAAATGGCGTTTCATTACATTCAACGCTGGTTTTTTAGTTTTTGAACATAAAAGTTCTTATTAGTATCCACTCGATTTAACGGCCTATATTGGGCTGTTCCGGGGCTCCGGTATTTCCGAAGTTAAGATGTCGGTAATTTTTCAAGTAACATTCAGGTAGGATATATTTTATGCTGCATAACTAAAACTAAATAAAGTTCATTGTGTAATTGCATTCCAAGTTAGTTTCTGTGTTAGTGCCTATTCTATCACAGGTTACAATTAATAATTCCTTCATATGACAAGTTGGATCACACAAGTGGACAAGTGAACCTTATTAACCAAACACCTCCCTCACTGCCACTCTTCCCTCACCCTCACCACCACCCTCCCTCCCTCCCTCCCTCACTGCTTCTATCCCTCCTTGTCTCTTCCCCCTCAATGCCTCCCTCCATCACTTCCTCTCCTCTCTTCAATGCCTCCCTCACCACCACCTCCACTCTCCCTGCCTCTCCCTCTCAATGCCTCCCTTCATCAATCACTACCTCCCATCCTTCCCTCAATGCCTTAGAGGTTGGTGGCCTGTTGCCATGTGAGGGGGCCCGCCGATGCCAAAACAAACCCAATACCGACCTTTGGTAATATCGACCGCCAGACCGATATATGAGGCTGCAGATACCGGTCTCTCAAACCGGTCATTATTACCGGCAGATCAGTATAAAAGAGGCCGTTAAATTGAGTGGATACTGTATATCACGCCATGGGTTCCAAGAAAGTCAGTGGTAAAGTTCAACCTAAGAAAATAGTTGTGAGGATGACGATAGAGGAAAAACAGAAGATCATTCATAGTGAGACAATGTGATGTCTCACTACAGACAAGTGTTAAAATGTAGGGAAAACAAATGTCTACAGACAGATTCTTAGTAAGACAAGCAAGCAGTGAGCCACAACCAGGTCCTAGTGGTATGCCTCCAAAGAGAGAGAACCTCAGAAATGTCATCACTGCTTGATGTCATAATGGAAGGGGGACTCCCCTTCCAAATGCTAACACCTCTCCTCCTTCCCCCCCCCTCCCCCCTCACCCGGGCTCGCTACCTGCTCATATCCCCCGGGCTCATATCCCCCGGGCTCGCTACCTGAATTGCGGCGAGGCCCACCCTACATTCTCTCGCACGTGTATCGACTCAAAGCTTGAAGTAGTCCTTAACTTGAAACACCAGTATCATTTGACTTTTCCCGAGGCAAGACACGGTTTGCAGTGTCCACCCCTTCACTGGCGTATCTTATGCTCGCACGTTGTTCTACCTCTCGTCCTTCCCACCTTTGTCCCACAACCATTTCTAGGCCTTGGACCCGAACATGCCCACCACCTTCCCTGTTCCTTTACGTCCTGGGTCGGAAGGTATCTCTCGTGAATCTCCTTCTGGATTCCCCCCCCCCCTTTTCCTTTTCCTACCCTGTCTGCCAAGTCATTTCGTTTTCCCCGATCCTTCCTGTCCCTCCCCATTACCTCGTGGCCCTCCACGTCGCCTGTCTGTCCAGGCTGATGTCCATCATCCTCCCAGCAATCTTGATGTTGTTCACTCCCATTCTTCACTTAAGACCCTAGTCAGTCGGCCAGTACGATGTTACTGGAACACCTGTCCGTCAGAAACGTAAGCCTGGCTCCTCTCCATCCTCCTCCCCCTGCGGGTAAGAAAAGAGACGGCATTCCTTTCTTCCTCGCCCCATAACTATTGCTTACTCCCCATTTTATTGGTTGGGGCCCCCTGTCCCTAATGTGGAAGTTTATTTTGGCCAAATTTCCTCTTGGTTGCTGACCTAGAGTTTCTACCCCTATCCTCCTGGCCTTGACAGCCCCCCCCCCCCCTCCCTGAACCCTGTGAATCTGCCTCTGGTGTCCTGCTTTTTTTCCCTCCATTCTTACTAAGTTAACCCATGGCCCGCTAAACCTTATTCTGATCTTTAGCTTTTTTAATATGCTGTGTTATTTACCTTTGTTTCTTTGTTCTGTTGCTGTCCTTTTATTTTATTTTTTGATAATGTCAATTCCTCAATGGAATATTCATGGGTTTTATGCAAACTCTCATGAACTCCAACTTCTGTTTAGGTTTCACCACTTTGTCTCTGGGAGCCGATGCTTGGTGCTCGTCGTGATAACTGTCGTAGTTATTCCTTTCTCCCCTTCCCCCTTCTCCTCCCCCCCCCCCCTTGATCTTGCTGGGGCCCATAACTATATTGGTCTCTTGATTCGTACTGATAATCCCTTTGTCCTACTGTTTCCATGTCCTATCCATTATTTTGCTGGCCATGTTTTTGAGTAAAATGTAGTCTGTTAAATTTTTCCCCCAAATGTCCCTCTTTCCTTTCCTGATGTCAGGAACCTCCTGGACTCCTTAACAGAGCTGCTGTTCCTGTTGGGTTATTTAAACTATCGACATACCCTTTGGGGTGATGTTGACACACCCGAGATTCCTATTCCTTCTCGAACCATTCGTTCTCTTCCCTGTCTTGATCTTTCTCTGATCGTCTCTGTACTTGGATATCTCGTTGAGGGTTCATAACCTCCATAAGTGACCATTTCACCATCCTTGTTTTCCCTTGTCTTTTCACCCTCCCCTCTCCTTCCCTAGGTAGCAGTTTGCCAAAGCTGAATAGAACCTATTCACCCTCCGTGCTACTGTGACCTCTCCTTACTACCTCTTCCTTGCACCCTCCTCGTTTTCATTAGTCTTGGATGCTACCCTCTATTCCTTGCTCTACCTCCCAGGGCACACGGAAGTGCGTTCCCTGTACTGCAGATTGCTAGGGTTGTCGGCTGTAAGTGTGCAGCCTGGAAAAGACTGACGCTGGCAGATGGCTGATTCTTATATTTTGTTTCAGAAAGTGCAGTGGCCTGTTGGACCACCTGGACAGCGAGGCGCGAGAGTTGGAAGTGTTTCCAGCATTACGTCAGATACTCCTCTGCCGCAGATTTGGAAGATTTGCAATATTGTGGGTAAGCTGTGGGTAAGCTGTGGGTAAGCTGTAAGCTACCCTATGACTAGCAGGTTCTTCACCTCTGTGGTACTCTGGTGGTGGAGCCAGTGCAGGTCACAACCGAACTGGGTTCTCACTTGTTAGCTGTGGTTCTAATCTTCAATTTTTCCTTAAACACGTTCTTGAATCTCGTGCCTTAAACTTCCACACTCGGTGGTACTACATAGCCTTCCCGGTTTGGTGGGTTTTATAAATTTTTACTAAATGAGGTTTAAGTTCTTTACAAGTGGCGACAAATGGCAAATACATTTAGATCTGTGTACAGTTTGCTTATCTATTTAAAATTAAATCCCATTTGATCCGCAAGCAAGCAAGAGTGATTTGGCATGAATCCTGGGCGAGTAACTGTATCATCTGTTTAACGGTGTAAAATTGGTACCTAGTTAAATTTTTAGTGTTCTGGGGTAACATGGAATAAAGTTATTGGCCTAAATGGTACGCATGCTTGTGGCTGTACAAGAATGAAAGATCTGTCGTATTGTTTTTTTTGACATAAATAGCAACAACTCTTGAGTTTGCTTGCCATGTTTCAAATACATGTTACCAAAGATGTATGGAGGAGGGGAATCGTAAACTATAAATTTGAAATACAAATTTTGTAGCATATAAACCTTAAATGTGGACTTCAAAGTGCTTTATCTTCTAATTTATAAATTAGATATAGTGGGGGGGGGGGTAGTAGATAATTTGTTAGTGTAACTTTAAAATGACAAATATTTTAAAGTTAAACAAAATGAAATTGCTATGCAAAACCTTATTATCCATATTTAATGTTCCATTGACAGGTTGTAGAAGGTCCTTCCAAGATAACTTCAGGAACAGTTGCAGAACAATCGCTGGAAGTGTTAAATGCTACAGAAAGTAGCATAGTTGTCAGAATTAGAGGGCCAAAGTAAGTTTATTTAGTTTAATAGGTAAAATGTGTTTACATAATTTTTACCTAAATATGTAATGAAATTGTGAAGGGGCCTTGAAATTGGGTAAATTGAAACTAGGATATAGTACCCACTAGTCAAGGCCTTAAACTAAAGTTAATTCTTGCAAGAATTGTGCTTTGAATAGAATAAATGGGACTTTAAATTTGTGAATGTAAAGTTGGGCACTAACTGTTAAACGGCATAAATTTGCAAGTTAAAGATTTTATGAAATTTTTTACTTAAATCTTAATTTGTTTGCTTAACTTCTGGTGTTAAGTTGGTTGCATGGTTCTTAATTATTTGGCTAGAAGTCATTCATTTATAAATTACACAAATCACAATGGCTGTGATGAGGGGTTCAAACTTATGTCGGAGGATCCCAGATGTGCTTTAAGACTGTGCCACAACATGGTAAAAGAATCCCAACTGGGAGGTCTACTGACATCATGGATTTAATCTACGTTTGTAGCTTAAAAGGCTATGTTCATATTATTAAAGAATCATTTAATGATGGTATAGTACACAAATTAAATATTGAATGGTAACTGTACTTCAACTTGGTTTATTTATTTGAAGCTTAAATAGATATTGTCTTCCAGAATATTGATGGGAAAGTCGACCTTCAGCCCTGAGTTTGAAGGTGTTAATTGCTTGACATTCTGAATTAGGTGAGTGTGGTAGTAAACATTATAACTTAAACAATCACTCATTATGGCTGAAGATAATCTGAAATGATGCTTACATGTTGATAAAATAAATTGCTGACTTTAATGTACTTATGGTTAGTCAAACTAAGTTTAATGTTTTTGCTTGATTAGCATTAAAGGAGAATTCTAACAATCTTAATTGTAAAATCTTGTTTAACCAAGCTAATTTGGGTAAATGTTTCAGGTGGTATGGAAGATTACAATGTCATCAAAGCATTGACTGGCTTCAGTGTGGTTGTTCTACTCTGCAAATCTACGAAAGTTGGTATGTGGGTATGTGGTAGGTGGTGCAAGGGCATGGGAGGCGCTCTTGTATACAATGGATGGGATTTCACTGATGTTCCCAGCTTTGGTTTTTAGTGAGTGTTTGATGGACACAACATCTGACGGGCTGACTGGTGAGAGGAGAAGAGAGTTTGGATAGCTGCCTGAGAGATATGTGTTCATATGTGTCTGAGTCTGTGGGATTTTACTTGCAAGGTTAGCACCAATCGATGAAAAGAAGCTATTAAATTCATTCGCCATTTCTAAGTCAGATGACAGTGTAAGGCCATCCTTAGAGAGTGTTATCTGGTTGTGGGAGTGTTGTTTAGTTCCCAGGATGTTAGAGATGGTATTCCATGTGCTACCTTTCGTTCGACTCCCGCCCTCAGTTAGTATGTTGACACTGGCTTTCTCTCCAGGACCGCCGTGATCGCTACTATCTTCGCTATTTTGCGTGGTCCTTACAACATCCTTCCTCTCACCTCTGTCGTGCTTTAACTTTGACTCCTCCTGTGGTTCCTGTTCATCTTCATCGCCTCCCTCTTTCTGTCTGGTTATCTCGCTTTCTGTTCGTATTTCTAATGTTTCTCCTCGTATTGTTCCTTGCCTCCGTGGAGAGTACCCCCTTCCAAAGTTTTGTACGTCCTTGACCCGCATCACTAAAGCTCCTACCCCTCCTAGGGTTCTGAAACGCCTTTTCCTTGAGCACTTTTCTTCGCACTCCCACTCTGTTTCCATCTTCACCGAGGGGTCTAAGTCTGCGGACGGTGTGGGCTACTGTTTTTTTCCTGACCGCACTTATATGTGTCGCCTCGTTTCGGAGGCTAGCGTCTTCACAGCAGAACTTTATGCTGTTCTCTATGCTCTCCGTCTCTTGCTTTCTCATTGTCAATCCTCCTTTGTGATTGTAGTTGACTCTCGTAGTGCTCTCATGGCTGTAGGGTCCTTTAATCCTGTCCATCCGGTGGTCATGGATATTCAACATTGGCTGTTTGTTATTTCTAGTACATTTAAATCGGTAGAGTTTTGCTGGGTTCCCAGCCATATTGGTGTTTCTTTAAATGAGCATGCGGATGCTGCCTCTAAGGAAGCTATCCGTTCTTGTCCCATCTCCCATAAAGGTATTCCTTACTCGGACTTTTATCCTGTTATTCATTCCTCCATCCTTGCCCATTGGCAGGGTTGTTAGTCGTCTGTAGTTGGTAACAAGTTGCGTACTCTCAAACGTAGTGTGTCCCTGTGTCCTTCCTCCTGCCACCGTAACCGTCGGTGGGAAACTGCTCTAGCAAGTTGCTGATTGGCCATACTCGCTGAACTCATGGTCACTTAATGGAGCGCCGCCCTGCTCCTTATTGTCCAAATTGCGTTGTCCCTCTTACAGTTGTGCATATCCTTGTTGAATGTCCTGACTTCCAGGATGTGCGTGTGTCTTGCTTTCCGACTTGTCCCTGGATAGAATTGTTGGTGAATCGGATACTTTTGATATCGTTCGCCTTATGCGTTCTGTTGTATTGGCATTCTTGGTGATATTTAGCGCCCTCTGATTATTTCGCAGTTTGAGGGTGCTATGTAGCCTTCTCGGTTTGGTGCCTTCTTTTGATAATTACCTTACCTTTCACTGCATCAACTTTTGGTGAATGATGGATTCATACTCGAAGGTCCTTATTTCATCGTTCTATTTCGTTGTAATGTTAATGTGGTAGTTGTGATATGGATTGTAAAACCTTGCATGTGAGCCAGAACAATGTTATTTGTATATTAAGAAGAAATTGTCAGCCTTGTAACCATTTTTAGAGTTCATGTAGATCTTTGTAAGGCCTCGATATCATTGTTTTTTTTTACTCTATAAATCTTGGTGTTTGATGTCATGGATTTATAAGGTTTAGACCCTTGTGGTATGAATCTCGCAAAATTTTCCAGTCATTTCTGTTTAGGACACTTTAATTTGACTGTTACCATTGATTCTGTGCCTGTTTTTCCCCTCCTATTCTTTCATATGGTACCTTAACAGCTTTAGCAAGCAAGTGACATGTGTACCAGAAGTCTTGTTTGAATAGCTGGTTACCATTTCCACAAAAAAGTGACCAGGTTTGTTTTTAAAAAAAAAACTTATTACAAGATCATTGAATGATTGTCACCTCGCAGATGCGAGGTGAAACTAATCTGACAGTTTTGTGCTTGGTTATTTCGAAGATTTGAGTGACATTTGAAATCTAGATAAACTTGTTATGAACATCTTTTAACTTTAGTAATTTTGGCTGAGAGTTCATTTAAGTTTGGATTAAATTCTAGGCATGTGGTAATTATAAATTTTAGTTTGTAAGGCTCTTCCAGTTTATGGTACTTTTTACAGGTAGTGTATAATACACTACTATCCTTAATTACTTCTATTCATCAGCTTGAAACATTTGTGGTTATGGGATGTCTGGTGTGAATAATGAAATTTTCATTCAAAATATTTGGTAGGAAATAATAAGGCAGACTGGTCATGTCTAATATTGTTTTTCTTATACTAGAACTTTCAGAGTTGGATTTTACTTTTGACAATAGGTAGTTTCATACTTTCCAATCAAGTTTTAATATCTAGCCCATTATAATTAACTTCTGATTACTGGAACCACAGTGTTCCAGGTCTGGCATTTAGTAAGGTATTGGTGAAAAGCCATATTGTATAGATGTTTTAGTTTGACATAAGTCAACATTTTTTTTTACAACACTTCCATCAATGTTTAGATGTTGCTTGGCCTTAAATGTAGTCCATACAATTGTTAAGTTTAATTTTAGTCAAGTGTAAAATTAAGATACTTTGCAAATTAGTAATGTTAGTTTAGATTTATCAGCTTAATCCAGTTTGGCATATTACATGCAGAAAACTCTGAAGTTAGTGATGTCAATTAATTTCACTTTAGTAACTTTTTTATAAATTTCACAAGTTCTTTGCATCAGTAATTTCCAGCATGATAGAATCTTTGCTAATTTCAGGATAAAGTACAGTATAAAGTTTCATTGCATTATTTATTTAATAGTTTACAGTGTAACATTGACTATTGTCTATTTCAGGTTGTGGGAAGCTGCTCCTCCTAGATGCAATCCACTGAAGACTCAAAGATCAACAAAAGGCCAGGGAAAACCAGAGTACCAAGGACAACATCCACCTGTAAAGAAAAAATAAAGTATATCAAACAGGGACACTCATTTTATTAACACTACCACCTATCTAGAAGCACCAAAACCCCTAAGTCCCTATCTTTTAAGATAGGCTCAGCAAGGCCTATCCCTTACTTCAATTTGAGGCAGGACTTGTTGGCTGAAAGAGTGCATCACTTGTTTTAGTGCCCAACATGATGTACATAAGCTTTGTGTAAAGCCTATGTACATCATGTTCCAGGCACTAAACCTCTGGATGTATCCACTCTTTCAGTGAACAAGCCCTGTAGTGATTAACAATGTTTGCACATTGTTAAGGGTCCCTACACCTATGCAATTCTAGTCCATCTATTGGATGGGTAGTAGAGCAGGGTTCTGAAAAAGCCAAGCCAGGGAAATCTGCAGGACTGCCTGGTCCCCTTCTATGAAATGGGGTAGGATCAGTACAAACTGCATCAATCCCTGCAGGTTGTAACAGTAGGACTTTGGTACACATCTATAAATGGACTAGATGAAAGAAAGTAAATTAATTAGTTGACATAGCTAAAACACTTAATTCCACATACCAACTTTCATAGATTTGCAGAGTAGAACAACCACACTGAAGCCAGTCAATGCTTTGATGACATTGTAATCTTCCATACCACCTGAAACATTTACCCAAATTAATTGTAAAATCTTGTTTAACAAGCTAAGATTGTTAGAATTCTCCTTTAATGCTAATCAAGCAAAAACATTAAACTTAGTTTGACTAACCATAAGTTCATTAAAGTCACTAATATCTCTCAGCAATTTATTTTATCAACATGTAAGCATCATTTCAGATTATCTTCAGCCATAATGAGTGATTGTTTAAGTTATAATGTTTACTACCACACTCACCTAATTAACAATGTCAAGCAATTAACACCTTCAAACTCAGGGCTGAAGGTCGACTTTCCCATCAATATTCTGAAAGATAATATCTATTTAAGCTTCAAATAAATAAACTAAGTTGAAGTAGTTACCATTCAATATTTAATTTGTGTACTATACCATCAGTAAACAATTCTTTAATTTATGAACATAGCCTTTTAAGCTACAAACAGATTAAATCCATGATGTCAGTAAACCTCCCAGTTGGGATTCTTTTACCATGTTGTGGCACAGTCTTAAAGCACATCTGGGATCCTCCGACATAAGTTTGAACCCCTCATCACAGCCCTTGTGCATTGCAAATATCACATTGTGATTTGTGTAATTTATAAATGAATGACTTCTAGCCAAATAATTAAGAACCATGCAACCAACTTAACACCAGAAGTTAAGCAAACAAATTAAGATTTAAATAAAACACTTCATAAAATCTTTAACTTGCAAATTTATGCCGTTTAACAGTTAGTGCCCAACTTTACATTCACAAATTTAAAGTCCCCTTTATTCTATTCAAAGCACAATTCTTGCAAGAATTAACTTTAGTTTAAGGCCTTGACTAGTGGGTACTATATCCTAGTTTCAATTTACCCAATTTCAAGGCCCCTTCACAATTTCATTACATATTTAGGTAAAAATTATGTAAACACATTTTACCTATTAAACTAAATAAACTTACTTTGGCCCTCTAATTCTGACAACTAAGCTACTTTCTGTAGCATTTAACACTTCCAGCGATTGTTCTGCAACTGTTCCTGAAGTTATCTTGGAAGGACCTTCAACAACCTGTCAATGGAACATTAAATATGGTTAACAAGGTTTTGCATAGCAATTTCATTTTGTTTAACTTTAAAATATTTGTCATTTTAAAGTTACACTAACAAATTATCTACTTCCTCCCCCCCCACTATATCTAATTTATAAATTAGAAGATAAAGCACTTTGAAGTCCACATTTAAGGTTTATATGCTACAAAATTTGCATTTCAAATTTATAGTTTACGATTCCCCTCCCCCATACATCTTTGGTAACATGTATTTGGAACATGCCAAGCAAACTCAAGAGTTGTTGCTATTTATGTCAAAAAAAAACAATACGACAGATCTTTCATTCTTGTACAGCCACAAGCATGCGTACCATTTAGGCCAATAACTTTATTCCATGTTACCCCAGAACACTAAAAATTTAACTAGGTACCAATTTTACACCGTTAAACAGACGACAGTTACTCGCCCAGGATTCATGCCAAATCACTCTTGCTTGCTTGCGGATCAAATGGGATTTAATTTTAAATAGATAAGCAAACTGTACACAGATCTAAATGTATTTGCCATTTGTTGCCACTTTTAAAGAACTTAAACCTCATTTAGTAAAAATTTATAAAACCCACCAAACCGGGAAGGCTATGTAGTACCACCGAGTGTGGAAGTTTAAGGCACGAGATTCAAGAACGTGTTTAAGGAAAAATTGAAGATTAGAACCACAGCTAACAAGTGAGAACCCAGTTCGGTTGTGACCTGCACTGGCTCCACCACCAGAGTACCACAGAGGTGAAGAACCTGCTAGTCATAGGGAATGAGCTTACCCACAATATTGCAAATCTTCCAAATCTGCGGCAGAGGAGTATCTGACGTAATGGTGGAAACACTTCCAACTTTCGCGCCTCGCTGTCCAGGTGGTCCAACAGCCCACTGCACTTTCTGAAACAATATAAGAATCAGCCATCTGCCAGCGTCAGTCTTTTCCAGACCTGCACACTTACAGCCGACAACCCTAGCATTCCGCAGTACAGGGAACGCACTTCCGTGTGCCCTGGGAGGTAGAGCAAGGAATAGAGGGTAGCGACGAAGACTAATGAAAACGAGGAGGGTGCAAGGAAGAGGTAGTAAGGAGAGGTCACAGTAGCACGGAGGATGAATAGGTTCTAATCACCTTTGGCAAACTGCCACCTAGGGAAGGAGAGGGGAGGGTGAAAAGACAAGGGAAAACAAGGATGGTGAAATGGTCACTTATGGAGGTTATGAACCCTCCACGAGATATCCAAGTACAGAGACGATCAGAGAAAGATCAAGACAGGGAAGAGAACGAATGGTTCGAGAAGGCCGCCTCGGGTGTGTCAACATCACCCCAAAGGGTATGTCGACAGTTTAAATAACCCAACAGGAACACCAGCTCTGTTAAGGAGTCCAGGAGGTTCCCGACATCAGGAAGGGAAAGAGGGACATTTGCGGGAAAAATTTAACAGACTACATTTTAGTCAAAAACATGGCCAGCAAAATAATGGATAGGACATGGAAACAGTACGACAAAGATTATCAGTACGAATCAAGAGACCAATATAGTTATGGGCCCCAGCAAGATAAAGTGGGGGGGGGGGAGGAGAAGGGGAAGAAAGGAATAACCACGACAGTTATCACGACGAGCACCAAGCATCGGCTCCCAGAGACAGTGGTGAAACCTAAACAGAAGTTGGAGTTCATGGGAGTTAGCATAAAACCCTGAATATTCCATTGAGGCATTGACATTATGAAAAAAATAAAAGGACAGCAACAGAACAAAGAAACAAAGGTAAATAACACAGCATATTAAAAAAGCTAAACATCAGAATAAGGTTTAGCGGGCCATGGGTTAACTTAGTAAGAATGGAGGGAAAAAAGCAGGACACTAGAGGCAGATTGACAGGGTTCAGGGAGGGGGGGCTGTCAAGGCCAGGAGGATAGGGGGTAGAAACTCTAGGTCAGCAACCAAGAGGGAATTGGGCCAAAAGAAACTTCCACATTAGGGACAGGGGGGCCCCCAACCAATAAAATGGGGAGTAAGCAATAGTTATGGGGCGAGGAAGAAAGGAATGCCGTCTCTTTTCTTACCCGCAGAGGGAGGAGGATGGAGAGGAGCCAGGCTTACGTTTCTGACGGACAGGTGTTCCAGTAACATCGTACTGGCCGACTGACTAGGGTCTTAAGTGAAGAATGGGAGTGAACAACATCAAGATTGCTGGGAGGATGATAGACAGGCGACGTGGAGGGCCAAGAGGTAATGGGGAGGGACAGGAAGGATCGGGGAAAACGAAATGACTTGGCAGACAGGGTAGGAAAAGGAAAGGGGGGAATCCAGAAGGAGATTCACGAGAGATACCTTCCGACCCAGGACGTAAAGGAACAGGGAAGGTGGTGGGCATGTTCGGGTCCAAGGCCTAGAAATGGTTGTGGGACAAAGGTGGGAAGGACGAGAGGTAGAACAACGTGCGAGCATAAGATACGCCAGTGAAGGGGTGGACACTGCAAACCGTGTCTTGCCTCGGGAAAAGTCAAATGATCCTGGTGTTTCAAGTTAAGGACTAATTCAAGCTTTGAGTCGATACACGTGCGAGAGAATGTAGGGTGGGCCTCGCCGCAATTCAGGTAGCGAGCCCGGGGGATATGAGCAATCGTCTTAGAGTGGCTATCGTCCCCACACATGGGGCAGAGAGAACCGAAGACTTGTGCATTTGAGGGCACCGTGCTCTAACTTGCCTCACTTATTACAATGAGTGAGAGGGGGGATGTACTCTTCAACAGGGCACCTGGCACCAGCAAGAATGATAGGTGGCTAAAGGGTCTATCAAAAGTGAGGTTTGTTTTTTAAAATCAATGTGTCGGTTTTACAAGATCATTGAATGTGAAATTATGAAAGATTGTCACCTTGCAGATGTGAAGTGAAACTAATCTGACAGTTGTGCGTTTACCCCCCCCCCCCCCCCCCCTACGTCACGACAACGACAGCCAGAATGGGAGATGGACCTCATTTAGTAGAAAACTTATCACTAATATCTACAGTATGCGCAATGATAATCTATACAATTGTGTTCTATTAACATTTTTTCAACTTTTAGCTTATGTACACCTACATTAAGTATCCTAATATACATGAACTTTGGTAAAGACTTGTTATAATGCCTTGTATACTTTAAGTTTGATGTTGGCGACTATATTACCAACATGTAATATATAAATTAGATTTTAACTACCTTCAAATACAAAACACTTTCTATACTAAAGTAATTATAAAATTGAAAACCAATATAATAACCAGCCTTTCACCAAGTTATGATCATTATTCTAATTAACAATGTTGTACAATATTATAACTACAATATTCTCCAAAACATTTATTCAACTTGCCGACTTCAATGCAACAGGAATCTATCTTATCAATGTGGAGCGGTGATTATTCCTTCAATCCCATGCACCACACTACAAACTTGCAACCAACGTTTCTAAGTTACGTTTGGCTTTAACAACTACAGCCAAGTTGGGAAAAAAAACTGCCTTGCATCACCTTGTTGCTCAAACAAGGTAAACTGCCCAGAACACCAATATATTTATAATCTAGTAACAAGTAAATTTGTAGTCAAGACACAGATGGTGCCAAGAACCTTATTAAACATTCCAAAACACTGAAAAAGCTCGTTTCAATGGAATTAGAGAAACTACTAAAATACCACAATTTATCACTATTTACAATAAGTGACTTCAACTAACCCAGAGTTTTTAATAAAATTTAATTTCAATACATTGCAACAGCCATTTCAGATAATGCGTCTCCGCCTGTCAAGGGAAAATATTAATACATTTTAGTATACTTTGTTACTATTAAGCTTACAAATTATGAACTTAAGTACTTTAATATTCATAAAGCGCTCTCAGTATAACAAGTCGCATTAGAAAGTTTATGAAACTTACAATAACATTTGCACACCAAACCAAAAGATACAAATTAAAATAATTTCATAATAAATTTGACCATGCAAGGGAAAGTTTCAAGAATCTAGTAACATTGCACTGATCAATGTCACATTTACCACTAATCTCACCCCTTAGTCTGACATTTAATATCTGACGGCCATTATGGTGTGTGCAATGAACATTTTAACCATTTAATTTTTATTATGCAACATGCTAGCTAAAAAATTACTGAACTACCAATAAGGACAAGTTATGAACTGCCTTAGCTACCTCATCCCTTGTTGGATTTTACCTCAATAAATTTATTTCAATGAACTTTGATTTTCCTCAGCCAATGGATCACCTAAGACTTGTGTACTTCATTGACAATAGAGTATATTTACTACAGAGACTATTGAGCCTGTATATCGAGTAGAGATTAATCATTACAGTGGCCAGTTTTCCATAAGTAAAATAAGATTACCTCTTAAAATAACAGCAGCCTACAGCTTGGGGGTTACATCAAGAAGAGCAATTTGAACGTTTGTCTTTACTACTCCAACAGGTATGGCCACAATTAACTTTCTGGAAATATTCACTCAAATTTTTAACAAAATTGTGGACCATAATTATTAAACTGCAGTACCACATTCATTGTGCATCAATGTTAATTTATAATTATACAATTTAGTATTAGTAGAATCAATTTTGTTGTCTATACCAAGATACTAGATTATAAACATAATCATTGTCATACCCTTTAAGACTGACAACACGTTAATGCTAAATTACAATAGGCACAACTTTTAACCTTTAAAGTATTTTGACAAGGAAATATCTATGGTTTGACAACTCTCCCAAGGGAGATACCTGCCTATGCTACACTTTAATTTTTTTTAAAGTTATATTACCTAATTATTTACAACTTCCCAAGACCGAAGCTGGAAGATTCACCTCATGCTGTCAATCTTAGGAAACAGGTGCAAAGACTCGCAATATAAGAAGTAGCATTGGCATAATTAATAAAACTACAATTCACAATAGTAAAGACTGACTGACTACACAAATCTCCCTGGAACTACCAAACTGATTAATTTTATCTAAATTTAATGGAACAATTGCCTACTTTTGTAAGTACACTTTGCTCTGGTTATTTTATGGTATCTAAAGTAGGATTCAGTCACCATTTCCATTAAATATTTAAAGTGTTGGTTCCCCCAAAATTATATAAACAAGGCTATCATGCAAATTTACTTTGCAAATTAAGCTCCTAATATAGGAGCTCCAGCAACTCTGGATTTTTTAAAGCTTTCCACACCTACCACACTACTGGTAAGTTAAAGCACATTTAATAACTTACAATGGATAAAAACCAATAGTTTAAAAATAGTGAAAAGGTCTTACAAATTACTAAACGTCGCAGAACCATATATTCTATTTTTTGGCCCGACTTAAGGATGTTAATTCATGTTAAAGTGAAGGGTATGAAGCCCATACAAATATGGTCATCAACACATGTAATTTGAAGACAAGCTAATTTAAAACTAAAGCTTAACATGTGCAGCATAATATAAATGCTAAAAATATTACCTTGCCGTAGATCACGAGGAGGACTAAGTCACAATCACCAATCAAAATTGCACGAGTGGTAGCTTCAGTGAGAAAAACCAACACCCTGAAAATAAAAGTTTACACTTTAGAAAGCAGTTATACAACACTCATTCGCCCAACTAATCATACCAAGGTATGGACACTTTACCGATTTTATCTGCTTTAGAGGATATTTAATATCCGCCAATAACTCATTCTTTATGAAACTGCTATTAATAAAAACGGTACATTGCAAGTCAGACAGGATGGTACCAATTTCTTCACACTGAAAATCTATAAGTTTGCAAAAACTGTCAAGAACAATAAGTTGAGTGCAACATTAAAATGGTTTAAAGACACTACAATGCAGAACAAAACGAGATGCTTCCCCCCCCCCCCCCCCACCCACAGTTACAATCCAATGGAACAGTCCCACTAAAGACGAGTGCCAAGCTATGCTGCCGTTTAAGATAAAGCTTTACAAAATAAGGAAGTGGAAAAGAGGGGGTACCCGAGAAACTGCCAAGGGGGGGGGGGTCAGATTATCTGTACCTTTTACAGTTTAGTGTAGACTTCCTCCCCACAGGATCTGGGTCTTGTCCACTCCAACGTCGGCCAGAGTTGGTGCCGGCTGCCGTTTAGAATGGGTGCCATCTCATGCTATACATTACTTCAGGAAACTAGTGCCTCACTCTTCGCCATAGGGTACATCAGCTCAGGACCTCACATGTTGGGAGGCAGTCAAAGACTAGCCAGTCAACAACTTGGGCTGGAGAGCTGTAGCAGCCGAAACAATTTACCACCTGCAAATACAATTTAATTAAAGACTAACAAAAATGGCAAATTTTAGGAATATTTTGAGTAAATTTATGCAGGACCAAAGAAATGAAATTCACTCAAAACATTTAAACACAAAGTGGATCAGTTTTCAAATGGGGCACCAGACGGCAATTTAGTAATAGATAAAATATTTGTTAAAAATACTAATCTGTCATTGTCCTTTATTTGACCTGTCAGTTTTTAATGGACCTATCCTTTCCCTAGTCTTAGTTCGATATAACTAAAAAAAAACCTAGGATTTTACTTTACTTGCTCTGCTATGCGAACTTCATAGTTTTTTTGCTTTCCTAATCTAACATTACCAGTTTTATGAATTCCTGTTCTAAACCGACTTCCCCATGCTTAATCCTTTTGTACCAAGTTCTCTTTACCTATAAGGTTCTTTAAATTCTTTGTTATCCACTTTGGGTCATTAGTATTTGATCTATTCAATTTGTATGGTATACTACATTCCTGTGCTTTGTTTAGAATATTCTTAAACAATTTATATATTAAATCCACATCGAAATCCCCTTTTACGTCACCTATTGCTGGGTTCATGTCTCCAAGACCGGCCCACACCCCATACCCAAGACTTCCCAATCTATTTGACCCCAAAAATTTCTTAGGCTATTAAAATCAGCTTTTCGAAAATCTGGCACTTTAACAGAATTCTCCTACAGGTCTATTCCATTCTATGCTAAATCTAACTTCTCTGGTCACTGTTCCCTAGCTCACTCCCTATTTCGATGTCATTAATTTGTGTTTCCCTGTTACTTAACACTGAATCTAAAATATTTTCCCGCGTTGGTTCCTTAATGTGTTGCGTAAGAAAACAATCTTCAAATAATTCTAGAAAATCTTCCGCTTCACTATTCCGTTTTGTTCAACCAGTTTATTCCACTAAAGTTAAAGTCACCCATGACAAATACTATTAGATCTAGATGCTCTAGATATTTAATCCCATAGATGCTTTGCTTCCATTCTGTCTAAATTTGGTGGCCTATATACAACTCCTATTATATTATTTGCTTTCTTAATTCTATCCGAATAGTTTGCGGGTGGCTCAGTTTTTATTCTCTTTGAGACTACATTTCAAATTGTCCCCAACATACATGGCTACTCCCCCTCGTCTAATATAGTTTAAATCCATTTATTTTATGTTCAGCTAATAGTCCTCTATTTTCTACATTCATCCATGTTTCGGCATGTGCAATAATCTTTATTTTCTGTGCAGACAAGAGCATTTAATTCGTTAATTTTATTTCTTAGACTTCTACTGTTAGTGCAATATACCCTAAGTGAATTGTTATTTTGAGGCCCTTTTCTTTCCCTGATAATTTTGCCAATTCTTTTCTCCCACGAACACGCTTATTACCTCCTTCCTCCAAATCAATTCCCATAACACTACTAACAGTTTAAACCCAAACAAACACCTCTAACCACTGGTTCCAACGAGTTCACAACAGCAACAACCCCAGCCCTCGATAGATGCACCCCATCACGAGCATACATTTCATTTCTTCCATAGAAGTGTTTCCAGTTGTCTATGAAAGATATTGCATTTGATTTGCAATATCTTTCCAGCCGGCAAGTGACACCAAGTAGCCTCAACATCCATTCATTACCCACTCCCTTTCTTTGAAGAAAGACATGCTCAGGATTCCTCCCTTGCTCCTAACTAATTCATTGGCTGTCCTGAATCTATTAGTTCCTCACTCCTAACTCGTCCAACATCATTACCCTCTGCTCTAATACAAATAATGGGTTTGTTCCCATTTCCCGTCATAATATCATTCATGTTTCCAACAATATCACCAATTCCAGCTCCCGGATAGCAAACCCTTAATCTGTTCCCCCCATCTCTGGCACAAAACGTTCTGTAAATACCTCACCTGGGAATCTCCCACAACCAAAATTCGCGTTGGTACCTCAACTTTCTGAGCAGCCTGAGGGGTCTGCGCTTCGCCGCTCCTCGCCGATTTCCGTTTCGAGTGAACTGCAGGCTCACCACAGCACTTGTCGTCCAACACGGCAAATGAATTTGCCGTCCTTAGGGCGTCTGTAGGCAGCCTTGTCAAGGTCTTCAAGACCCCTGTCCTTAACGACTATCCACGACGAGGTCTTGTTAATATTAGTCTCCTCCGTTTCTTCCCAATTCTGATTGAAATTACCTACTTAAAATTATCTGCGATTAAGGACCTGCCCGAAACGCTGTGCGTACGTTTCAGCTGTCGTTCTATAAGTAAGGAGTGCTGTAAACTAGATTACCAAGATTAAAGCTTTGGTATGGTGATGCAACACCTATTTAACTTCAGTCAACAGTATACATTGTTATCAACTTTGGCTGTCACTATGGAAATATTTTAATTAACTTTCTAGTTAATAGCCATATTAGCTTCCGATTAAAACTAGGCCTAAGCAGGTTAGAAGATAAGAATGAAGGTAACTTCAGAAGGGCTGTTGGCCCATACAATGCAGCTCCTTATATCCACCCACTTATACTGAACAATTTACCTACGCTTGAAGCTATCTAGGGATCACAAATCACAACGTGATGCACTAGATGAACAAATCCACAAGGGCCGTGACGAGGATTCTAACCTGCGTCCGAGAGCATCCCAGGCGCTGCCTTAATCGATTGAGCTACGACATGGTAAAAGACTTTACCATGTGCTCAGTCTATTAAAGTAGAGTGATGCTCTTTGACGCAGGTTACAATCCTCATCACGGCCCTTGTGGATTTATCTAGGGATCCCACTTCCACATTGTTACGCGTTAATTTGTTCAACCAAAACCCTTTTGTCGAACTAGTATTTACCCAGGTCTTTCCTAAAGCTAAACTATCCAATTCATACCCTTTGTTTCGGGGTCGTCTTGTGCATACTCTTAATACCCCATTAATATTCCCTTATGTCCATTTGTCCACTTTTTCACCTATCATGTCACTAATTTTGCCTTTTTAGAGGCATGCATTTATGCCTTTTCACTAGGAATATCAAAACTGTATTTATTTCTGGTGTGGTGCTCATGGGTTCTGTTACAACCTTCTATGAAGCTTTTAAGATCAGGATTGGCATTATAGTTTAGCGTTTTATATATGTATAATACACATGAGAGAATGTGCAGAGACTTAATATCTAACATTCTGAGATTTGAGTAGGGGTACCGAGTGATGTCTGGGGCCAGAGTTGGATATTGTTCTAATAGCAGCTTTGTGTTGGGTAATTAGAGGACGTAAGTGATTTTGGGTAGTAGAACCCCAAGCACAAATACCATAGTTGAGATAAGGATAGATAAGGGAGTAATAGAGAGTCACCAGGGCAGGGCGTGGTACATAATATCTGATCTTAGAAAGAATGCCCACAGTTTTTGAAACTTTTTTTGATATATTTAGAATGTGTCCCTGGAAATTCAGCTTGTGGTCAATGAGAATGCCAAGGAATTTGCCATCTAATTTGTTAGAAATTTGGGTATTGTTTATTTTGAGATTTATATGACTAGAGGATTTATTGCCAAACAGAATATAGAAAGTTTTGTCAATGTTAAGGGTGAGTTTGTTGGCAGTTAGCCAAAGATGGACTTTATTTAGCTCAGTATTTACTGTGGCATTTAGAGCAAGAGGGTCAGGACTGGAGTAAATGAAGGTTGTGTCGTCAGCAAATAGAATTGGTTTGAGGTGTTGGGAGGCATTTGGAAGGTCATTAATGTAGATGAGAGAGGAGAGGGCCAAGTATGCTGCCCTGAGGAACACCAATGTTGATGGGTAGGGTGGGAGAAATTGTATTATTCACAGAAACATATTGGAGCCTGTCAGTAAGGTAGGACTCGAGGTATTGTAGGGAGTGTCCTCTGACTCCATAATGATGTAATTTAAGAAGAAGGTTATGGTGGTTGACAGTATCAAAAGCTTTACGCAGGTCCACAAATAACCCAACAGGGAACTCTTTTTATCAAGAGCTGTATGAATCGAGTTAAGCATACTAATAAGTGCATCGTTAGTGCTTTTTTTGGGTCTGAAGCCATATTGGCAAGGGCTAAGTATATTGAGTTTGGCTAGATATGAGTAAAGCTGCTTATATATAAGTTTTTCAAAAATTTTGACAAGTTTGGCAGGATTGATATAGGTCTGTAGTTAACATCTGTGGGGTCACCACATTTGTGGACAGGCGTTACTCTCGCTTTTTTTAGAATACCTGGAAAGGTTTGGAGTTCAAGTGACTTGTTGAAGAGCAAAGCAATAGCAGGGGCTAAAGATCTGGAGGCTTTTTTGTAAATTAAAGTTGGTATCTCCTCAAGGGCACCAGACTTGGTTTTAAGGGAAAGGATTATCTCATTGACGTCAGTGGAGTTAATAGGCTTCAGGTACAGAGACTGGATAGTTACCTGTAAGATAGTCCTTAATGTCAGTACTGGAAGATGGAATATCATTTGCAAGGGATGAACCAATGGAAGAGAAGAACCTATTGAACTCAATAGCAGAATCAGAGGCTGAAAGCTGACCATCGTTATTAGACAGGAGAGTCGGTTTGTTATTTAAAGATTTCTTTGATCCCAATATTTGTGAAATTGTGCTCCAAGTTTGTTTAATGTTGCTCTTATTTGAGTAAATTTATCTTCATAGTATTTAGTTTTGGCTCGTCTAATTATCTTAGATAGCAATAATGAGTAATTCTTTGAGAATTCTTTGGAGACAATTCCTAACCTATACTTCTCAAGGTCGTGTTTTTTGTTAATGGATTTCAGTATTCCCTTTGTAAGCCAAGGATTGTTAAGCCTTTTGCTTGTGACTTGTTTTGTAAGCCTAGGACAGTGGGTGTTATAAAGGCTAAGAGTTGTTTGTAGAAAAGATTGCACAGCTAGGTTGATGTCCCCTATGTTACCTAACTCGGACTCCCAGTTGACATTATCAGCAGCAGTTATAAAATTGTTTATAGCAGTTTCATTGTGCAGCCTAAAGCTTAACTCCCTTGTTTCTAGAGGTGGTTTGCTAATGTTAGTTAAGAGAAATGTGGGGTAGTGGTCTGTAGTGCTATCGGTGATTATACCTGAAGTAAGCGGAGAGGTTATGTTGGTCCAGATGTGATCTAGAGTCGTGGCAGTGCTATCAGTGATTCAATCTTCTCATACAACACTTTTCCAATTTGTGGGGTTAACTCATCCTACGTTGAATGCATTATTTTATAGCCGTTCTATAGCATGCCAACCAGAACTGCATCACCTAAATGGGGCTTTAACAAGAGCAAGATACCTGGAGAATACCAGGCATTTTATTATAGTAATTATTCATCGCCAGCCATTACTAGTGCTTTGACAAATCACTGTCCCATTTGCCCCAATTATGAACACTTATGCATTTTTTTATCAAACTCTGGTCCCTCTTGTAATCCACACCATCTAGCTCTTATCTGTACTATCATTTCCTAGCCTCAAAACCTTGTATTTGTCAGCATTAGACTGCATCTGGCAATTATACCATTTCAAAACCATCCTCTCCAAGTGATAGCAAGTATCTCTTTCCCGATTTTTTTTATTTTGCAATTCTGCAATTATTCCTGCTCCAACATCTTCAACCGAGGTCCCAGAACAGCCTTGAGGCACCAACAATATTTCCTTTAACACCATTTATACTAACCACTTTGGTATAGCAATGCTCTAGACTTCATACACCACCCAATATTTTGAGCCTATCATTTTTTCCCATTTGGCACTATCAAAAAAAGTTTTGCTAAAGTCATGGTACACATCACAAACCTTATCACTATTTCATCAACTATGCAAGTGTTACATCATTAACAGCTAATAGTAGAACTATGCAATTTATGTACGATTTTTCCAAGAGGAATACAAATATTTGTAGTTTTAAGATTAAAGCAACTTCCCACAATAGACTAAGCTAATTGGCCGCTAATTTGACAAGGAAATTAAACCTTACCTTGATGTGCTTCCGGGGCTTAGCGTCCCCGCGGCCCGGTCGTCGACCAGGCCTCCTGGTTGCTGGACTGATCAACCAGGCTGTTCGACTTTGCTGCTCGCAGCCTGACGTACGAGTCACAGCCTGGTTGATCAGGTAACCTTAGAATAATTTATAAAAAAATTCTTTAAAATTGTCGTTTTCCTTTGAAACTTGTACCACATTAGTACCTTCACACGTCTAGTACTGCCCGACTAATAAGTGATAAACCTCTCAAAGCTGCCCTTTTTTTAAGCACCCTGGCAAAAACTATCACACTAGAGTTACCATTTGTTTAAATAAACCACCATCCTCCCTGGTAACTGCTGAATTAGCCAACCTGTACTCCCAAAGTCTTGTTCGGCTGATAATGTTTAGTAAATACAAAATAAAAATCTAGTTATCTCCGTTATCACTTCTGACAGTTTTAGATAGACCTCAAACTTTCCCTAATCTATTCGATACATGACCTTTTGTCTTTGTCCTTAACCGAGAAGTACACTTAAAAACTCCAGCCGCACGTTAGGCGTAATTAAAGGGCCGGCCTCTGCCGGCCTTTTAATTACTCTGCACTCGTTACTTTAATTAATTAATTTAATTAATTACTTTAATTACTCTGCACTCGCCAAGAGAAAGAAAACCCGCTGGGTTATTCATCCTGTCACTTGTACCCAGACACAGCTGGGACTTTCCTTAACTGTCAAGTTAACAGCTCTTCAAACGAAGATTAACATCCATCGACCCTAAAAAACCTTAAGTTATTCCGCAAGATAACGATCTGGTTAATTATGTTTCAAACCGTATGTAGCTTACACAGGTAATTTACTTTTATCTACACAATTTCCCTCCCCCCCCCCCTTTATATTACTAGCGATACCCATTAAATAAATCTCAAACAAAACCTAACTAAACAGCCTAAAATTGGTTATTAGCACAAATGAATTACAAAGACGCGCTTTAAAAAGCTACAAGTCTACCACACTGGCCAACACATCCTCTTCCAACACAATACAAACAGTTACTACCGATCTTGGCCCGCAACAAGCCTCACATCACTTACTTTGTCCAGAAACATATATAGACTAGCAACTGACCATAACACTCATGTATTGGATATAGAATAACGCGGGGTTAATGTGTAGTGCTGCTGTCAAAATATAGATGGCACACACCCTAATGGTCATGCCAATGGACTCACC